CCCCCCCCCCGTTATATATCAGACTAGATTATTGAGAACAAACATAACAAGGATTTTTTGAATTTCAAGATTCGTACATTTAATTTTCGAGGATCGTTGGAAAGGAGAGATTTCGATCTTCAAATCCATGTCGTAGATTCACTCGTAAAGAAACGTTTTCTTCTTAAAATTTTTTTTTCCACGTGTCCTCGCGTAACAACGTGCCCTGTGACGAGGTTTATATTAGGTTATGTTTGAGTGGATTTTCTAGGTGAAAAAATGTCTCCAGTTTTACCATCTCAGAACGGAACAACGCATTTCGAAAGTAAAAATCTCGAGACTTTTCTGTTTTTCTTTTTCCTACGAAATTGCAACAGTCTAAATTCCCAGCTTTTATTAAAGTCTATGTGACTTGGTCCTTTGACTTTTACCATTTTAACGAGGAGACATTTACTTCGCTACTACTTTCTTACGTTCGTTGTCGTGTGTGTGTGTGTGTGTGTGTGTGTTGAATCGTTCGTAAATGCGCGTGTTGGCACGCGTAAACGGAATCTTTATTTCCCCTTTGAGCTTTTCCAGCGTCGAGCGCTCAAACTCCACGCGCCAGCCCCGCCGCTCGTCGATAAAAAAAACCGGACCGCTGGAATTTACATTGACATCATATTTTACATTGTATATGTGTGTGTGTGTGTGTGTGTGTTAAATAATTTCACAGCAGACGCTATGGTATTTCTCTCCGGTGGGGAAGGGGGAGTTGGCGAAAATTCAATTAAAATTCGATTTTTAAAGGTCGATGTCGAGATCGTGTCGTCGACGATCAAGGTCGCCTCGGACGTTGAGAAACGAGATAGAAACGAAAGAAAACAAGAAACACCACACGACCAAATTTAAAAAAATATATATAAAAAAATATTACTATTTTAAAAAGTAATAGAAATTAAAAAAAAAAAATATATATATATATGTTTATTTAGAAGAATAAAAATTTGAAAATATATACATATAAATATATACATATAAATAAAATATTGATACATAGATGGATATTTTAAAAGTATTAATTTATAACAATATATATGTATTAAACTTGAAATACATAATTATATATTGTATATTGCACGTTGAGAAACGAAAGAAAACAAGAAACACGACCAAATTTAAAAAAATATATATACATTACTATTTTAAAAAGTAATAGAAATTTAAAAATATATATATATATATATTTATTTATTTAAAATAATAAAGATTTGAAAATATATACATATAAATATAATATTGATACATAGATTGATATTTTAAAAGTATTAATTTATAACAATATATATGTATTAAAACTTGAGATACATAATTATATATTGTATATTGTAATATCCTGGGAAACATTAATACGTATGAAATTTATGTGTTTATATTATGTGTATATAATAATTCAAATGTATATATAAATAATAATACAATAATATATGTATTATTTAAATAATTATATTTCAAATATATATATATATATATATA